TTCGAACCCGCCACCTTAGGTGTATGTGGCTGGCTCCTTAGCCGCTTGAGCCACAGACGCCGAGCCTCACTTTTTTCTAGATTGTATCTCCATATGGCTCTGTGTTATATGTGAGATATTGTTGTTGTATGTTGAGATATATATTGTTCTCCTCTCTCAGGCTCTGTGTATATATGATTAATAAACTGCTATCTGTTTTATCTTTCTAGTGTTGGGTATTTTGCATTTGAGTTTGATATTCCCACTCATAACCCTAAGGTGGGAATCCCACCCTCATCAGTGGGATGAAGAGGAGGTGATTAAGACAAAGTTATATGTTGGGAGGCCAGGGAGATGCTTATAGTATAAGTCAGTGAGGTTGTGTGGCCATGGGTTTAGGGCTGTGGTATTTGAAGATAGGAGGAATGTGTATTCTTTTTTTTTGAGACAGAGTTTTACTTTGTCACCCTTGGTAGAGTGCTGTGGTGTCACAGCTCACAGCAACCTCCAACTCCTAGGCTTAGGCGATTCTCCTGCCTCAGCCTCCTGAGTAGCTGGGACTACAGGTGCCCACCACAACACCTGGCTATTTTTTTGTTGCAGTTTGGCTGGGGCCGGGTTCAAACCTGCCACCCTCAGTATCTGAGGCCGGCACCCTACCCACTGAGCCACAGGCGCCACCCTCTTTTTTTTTTTTTTTTGACAGAGTCTCAATCTGTTGCCCTGGGTAGAGGGCCATGGTATCACAGTTCACAGCAACCTCAAACTCTTGGGCATAAGCGATTCTCTTGTCTCAGCCTCCCAAGTACTGCTGGGACTACAGGCACCACCACAATGCTCAGCTATTTTTTGATTGTAGTTGTCATTGTTGTTTGGCAGGCCCGGGCTAGATACGAACCCACCAACTCTGGTGTATGTAGTCAGTGCCCTACCCACTGAGCTACAGGTGCAGCCAGGAATGTGTATTCTTTTTTTTTTTTTTTGAGATGGAGCCTCAAGCTATCCCCCTGGGTAGAGTGCCATGGCATCACACTCACAGCAACCTCCAACTCCTGGGCTCAAGCAAGTCTCCTGCCTCAGCCTCCCAAGTAGCTGGGACCATAGGCGCCCGCCACAATGCCTGGCCATTTTTTGGTTGCAGCCATCATTGCTGTTTGGCGGGCCTGGGCTGGGGATTCGAACCCGCCACCTTAGCCGCTTGAGCCACAGGCGCTTGAGCCACAGGCTACGAGCCAGGAATGTGTATTCTAAAGAATGATGTGTACTTGGAAGAGTAGTACTCCTATTCCCAAGGGCTCTGGCATTGAAACTTACTTGGCCTTGGGCATTTTAGGATTGCCTGATGGGAGTGAGTGGATCATTCTCACTAGGCCCCCAGCGTATGGTGTCTGTTTATCCACATCCCTGTTGTTGCTTGACTATATCTTCATGATTAATGAGCCTTTGAGGGGATAGTGCCATAGTAGCACTGGGGATGATTTCTCCTTTCAGCTGAGGAGTTTGGAAAGAGGATGGGCATAGTGTAAATGTATTTGGAAAAAGGAATGTGGGTCCTCAAGAGAGGGGCTGTTTGTGGTTTCATCTGTCTCCATCCTGGCAGGGCACTGTGACCTTTCAAGATGTGGCTGTGTACTTCTCCTGGGAGGAATGGGGTCTCCTTGATGAGGCTCAAAGATGCCTATACCGTGATGTGATGCTGGAGAATTTGGCTCTTATAACCTCCTTGGGTAAGATTCTCACGCTCATCTCATGTGGCTTTCCCTTTTTCCCCAGAGGTAGGTCTGTCCTCATGACAGAATCTGCTTCGTGCTCAGTTTCCTGGGTAGGGTCTATGCTTGGTAGGGCTATGGTGAACACACACCCTGGTTCTCCTTGAGCAGCCCCAACACCTGTTCGTTAGCAGCCTCACAGGGGAAGGATTCAAGGTCAGGAGTCTTGCAGTTACCCTAATGAATCCCACTTTGCTTGTTCTCTCCATGACTGGGTGACCCTTGAGATCCCAAACTCCTATGCTCCCCTAGGTTCCATTTTTTTCCCCCCATAGCTTGCATTCCTTATGCTTGCCTGTGCCAGGGATCACTGTCACTGACATAGTCACTACTTATATGGACCACAGACTTTTATAAGACATTCCTCTGAAGTTTCTTTGTACTATTTGTGTATGTGTGTGTGTATATATATATATATATATATTTTTTTTTTTTTTTGCAGGCTAGTGCTGGCTGCTGTTCTATCCTTCCTTTCTTTAGTTCTTATACTACGTTACTCCGATGCCGTGCATTTATTTATCTTGAGAAAGAGGTAGTGGAGAACCCTCAGTTATTCACAGAAAGCCATGAATCTAGGCATAGCAAGATGAACTCAGATGGAACCTGGACCTCATGACTGGCACTTGAGTAAAGGCACAATGTGAGGGCTGGGTTTTAAAGCCTAGTCTGTTTTATGAGCATTTTAGTTGTAATGCCCATTGGCTGCAGCTCATTCCTGGTTTTCTATCACTGTTCTGGACACTCTGCTGACTTTTCACCTCTACTACTTGTTACTTAAGTAGCAAGGAGTTTGGAAAGAGGATGGACATAGTGTAAATGTATTTGGGAAAAGAAATGTGGGCTTTTATTTATTTATTTATTTATTTTTGAGTCAGAGTTTCACTATGTTGTCCTTGGTAGAGTGCTGTGGCATCACAGCTCACAGCAGCCTCAAACTCTTGGGCTTAAGGGATTCTTGAGGCTCTTGCCTCAGTCTCCCAAGTAGCTGGGACTACAGGCATCCACCACAGTGCCCGGCTATTTTTGTTGTTGTAGTTGTCATTGTTGTTTAGCAGGCCTGGGCCAGGCTTGAACCCGCCAGCTTCAGTGTATGTGGCCAGCACCCTACTCACTGAGCTATGGGTGCCGAGCCAGTACTTTTTTTTGAGACAGAGTCTCACTTTGTCACCCTTAGTAGAGTGCTGTTGTGTCACAGGTCACAGCAACCTCCAGCTCTTGGGCTTAGGTGATTCCCTTGTCTCGGCCTCCTGAGTAGCTGGGACTACAGGTGCCTGCCACAATGCCCAGCTATTTTTTTGTTGCAGTTTGGCCGGGGCTGGGTTTGAACCCGTCACTCTCCGTATATGGGGCCGGTGCCCCCTCACTGAGCCACAGGCGCTGCCCCCAAGCCAGTACTTGTTACTACTTTTAGTCTTACATCGAACCTGGGGCTAATCTTCACCATCTTTGGACTTCACGTCTTCTCTGTTTTTTTCACTAGTCCATTTAGAGCAGGCATCCTGAAACTATGGCCTGCGGGCCACATGCAGCCCGTCCCGGACATTTATCCAGCCTGCCGGGTGTTTTTGCCACTGCTGCCTGTCCTGCTTAGCAGCCAACTCATTCCGGGCCCACAGTCTGGCCCTCCAATGGTCTGAGGGACAGTGAACTGGCCCCCTGTTTAAAAAGTTTGAGGACCCCTGATCTAGAGGGTCCTCCAACATTGGCCTGTACATACTATGTCATGAGATATGTATTTATCCTTAAGTAGTTTTTGAAGGCCAACTCCTCTTTTTCAGTCGTATTTTCCTGGGTCTGTATACACTGTTCTGCCCAGCACTGATGTCACCAGTAGATAAAGTTCTGCTGAAGTTGTTTGTTTTAGAGCCTGCTTCTCCTCTTTGTCACATAGCTCATGGCGTGGCTTTACCTCATGAGCTTTCCCCAATTCTGTCATCTTTATGGCATTAGTATTGCTAAATAGCTTCAACCTCAACCTACCTCCCTTGTAATGTGGATAATCCCATGGACTTTTCATGAATTTCTCATACATGTAGACACACTTATCTAGGGACTCCCCCCACACCACCCAAAGTCAGTGTGTACGTCACCAGCATTTCTTGCTTTTAAGTTGTTAGCATGGAGTGGTAATAAGGAGGTACTTTCTGAACAAAACATTTCTTTAGGAGTGTCCCAACTCAGAACTTCTGAGACAGATATGTTTCCCCAGTAGGCCCACCCCTGGAGATGTGTGGCTTGGTCTTGAGAGACATTTTGCACTTGGCTGAGCCCCAGGGAAAACATTGAGGGCAAAAACTACCAGCACGGGGCATGTGGGAAACACTTGTATTTCATTGCAGATGTTTGTCAGCACCAGAAGCAGCACTTTGGAGAGAAATACTTCAGAAGCATTGTGGGCAGAACATTGTTTGTGAAGAGCTACAAATTTCATGTGTCAGGGGAGACCTTTACCTGCAGAGAAGTTGGGAAAGACTTCCTGGCCAAGTTGGGATTTGTTCATCAACAGGCCACTCACAATGGGGAGCAGTCAAGTAGCATAAGCAATTATGGGGCTGTCAGTCACAGTGAAAAAACTCATTACAACTGTGAAGAATACACAAAACCAACGAGCCAAAAACACACACTTGTTCAGCAGCAGAGAGCCCTCACTACAGAAAGATGTTACATGTGCAGTGAATGTGGGAAATCCTTTAGCAAAAGCTACAGCCTCAGTGATCATTGGAGAGTTCACAGTGGAGAAAAGCCTTATGAATGTCGGGAATGTGGGAAATCCTTTAGGCAAAGCTCTAGCCTTATTCAGCACCGGAGAGTTCACACTGGAGTACGACCTCATGAATGTGATGAATGTGGAAAATTATTTAGCAACAAGTCCAACCTGATTAAACATTGGAGAGTTCACACTGGAGAAAGGCCATATGAGTGCAGTGAATGTGGGAAGTCCTTTAGTGACACCTCTGCACTTCGTCAACACCAGAGCGTTCACACTGGAGAGAGGCCTTATGAGTGTAGTGTGTGTGGGAAATTTTTTACATATCATTCCAGTCTTATAAAGCACCAGAAAGTTCACAGTGGATCAAGGCCTTATGAATGTAGTGAATGTGGGAAGTCATTTAGCCAAAACTCTAGCCTCATTGAACACCGTAGGGTTCATACTGGAGAAAGACCTTATAAATGCAGTGACTGTGGGAAATCCTTTAGCCAAAGCTCTGCACTCCTTCAACATCGGAGAGTTCACACTGGAGAAAGACCCTATGAGTGTGATGAATGTGGGAAATTTTTTACCTACAGCTCCAGTCTCCAGAAACACCAGAGAGTTCACACTGGTTCAAGGCCTTACGAATGCAGTGAATGTGGGAAATCCTTTACTCAGAACTCCAGCCTCATTAAGCATAGGGGGGTACACACTGGGGAAAGACCTTATGAGTGCAGCGAATGTGGGAAATCTTTTAGCCATAACTCTAGCCTTATTAAACATCAAAAAATTCATAGTCAATAAAGACCTTGTGAGTGACAAAATTATGTGGAAAATTTGTTTCTCTAAGATTACCTTAGAGAAAATCTTATGAATGGAGTGAATGTGAGAAAGCATTCAGCCAAAGGAGTTACCGTATTAGGTACCACAAAGATCACATGGAAAGAACACCTCTGATATGCAGGGTGCTATTTTTTTGTTCATTATAACAACTGTGAAGGAGATCCCATATATGAGAGTGCCATCTGCCTGAATTGAACTTCAAACATCCACATAAATTCCAGGTATGTGGGAGTTACATTGTACTTGTTACCCTACCCAGTGTTCTTGCCAGATTGATGTCATTCCTGGTTCTGTAGTGGGAGCCGTTTTTCCTCTACCAACTGGCAGGTGCTTACTGTATACACCTGAATTCACCCAGGTGAATGCATATAAGTAAACATTGGTGTTCTTCCACTCATGGGAAGAATTTTTTTTTTCTTTTTGCCATTTTAGCTGGGGCCAGGTTTGAATCCACCACCCCTGGTATATGGGGCTGGTGCCCTACTCCTTGAGCCACAGGTGTCGCCCTCATGGGAAGAATTTGTAAGTAACTTGAGTATTTATTCCTTTTCTTAATTTTTCTTTGTGATGAATTAGTGCATGGAACTGACCCAGTTTGGCCCAGAGGACTCTGCCGTTGACTTTGTTAGTCTCACATGACTATTTTGATGGAATTTTCCAGCCTCCAGATCGACTGTGGGAACCACCTGCCTGTCATTGCCCTGGTTTGTACAATAATAAAGGCCTTATTGTTTAAGCCACCATAAACAGCCACATTTGGGGTTCTTTTCAGTATACAGGGTGGTTTCAAAACAATTGGCTTCTGCTAACTTGAAGGGTTGAACAGTTTTGTTGGGATCCCAAATTTGTGTGCATCAGGAGGGCTGTGTGATGGCAGATTATAACTCTTTCTAGTTTGGGCCTAGTTTGCATTGATGTCCAAGACTTGCATGGTAAACCTGCAGGGTATTATCCTAATATGTATCCTGGATGCCATGGCATGCTATGGATTCATAGATAAGGGGTAGTTGTGACAATCTGGTGCTTCTGAGAACAATACAAAATTACTCTGTTCACAAGGAATCTTTATTCAGCATTGGTGAGGGAAATCGGTTTCCCAGGTCCTACAAAGCATCTATATGCCTTGATATCCTGAGTTTTATCTGGGATGCTTGTAAAATAATAGTGGGAATTATAATTATTACAGAAATACTGTTTTGATAGGAGGGGAAAGGTCTGCAGTAAACTGATTGTATGCCTGTCTTACAGGGGTATCCATGATGTTCAAGTCATTGTGTAAAGGAGGGGTAGGTACAGAAATTCTCAGAACCTTCAGAACTGTGTATCTTGTGTAGCTCAAGTCATTGTCAAAGAAGATAATCAAAAGGTTTTATGGGTTTCTGTAGCCTCTGGGCTGTTCACCTCAGAGGCATTGCTGTGTAAGCAGAAAAAATGACATAGAGAAGGCAGATCTTAATCCATCAATATGGCCTTTGTGATTCTGTCACCACTCCTTTTGAATCAGGAATAGACACCCTTCACTGTTCTCCTATATTTGCTACCACTGATGTAAGGTGTCCACATTAAGGCATGAAGAGAGAGATGGTAGAATCAGCAAAGGACTGTCAATCTGATTTTCAAAAAACAGTAGGAAATTCAGATTGATTTCAAAACATATTTAGAAATCTTTGAGAAAGTATAAATGGTTTATATTTAAACTTTATAATTTGATAAGGTTTGACATTCATATAAACTCATCTTCACAGTCATGAACCTATCCATTATCCCTGTAGTTAACCTCTTGCCCTTTAATAATTCTCTAAGTGCTCTAAGCAACCATTGATTTACTCTCCACTAGAATATATTAGTTTTTATTTTCTA